AAATATTTTATTCAGTGGTTCTGAGATCACATCTGTAGGTTCTTCAGAATCCTGGAATGTCAACCATCTGGTCCTGGCAATTTGAATTCATCTAGAGCAAGGCTGTCAAACTCCCAGCCCATGGGCCGGATGTGTCACACACTGGCCATGCCCATGCCTGGTTTAGTGAAGGGGAAAAAAAGTCCCAATACATCGTGTGATGCCGCCGTGACGACGTGAGTTTGGCACCTTGATCTAGAGTGAATAGGTGTTCTCTTACCAATTTGTTGCCTATTTTGACCTATATTCCTGTTATGTCTCACAGCTTTTGATAAATTGGACTATTAAGCAATTCTACTTTCTCTCTGATCTCCATTATCTTCTTGCCATTTTCTTCCATTAATGGATCAGTTATGTCCTTGACTTTCATCTTGTTACTTACATATTGAAAAAACTTTTTGTTTGTATATTTGGCATTTGTTCCAAGTCTTAGTTCATTCTGAGCCTTAGCTTTCCTTGACTGCATCTTTACAGATTAATATTTTCTCCTATCTTATCCCCAGTAACTACTCATATCTCAATCTGGGAAGTGCCCTTCATTTATTTTCTAATTTTTCATATATATTTTTATTAAAATGTTAAAAAAAAAGATAAAGACTAATACAAATTAATATAAAGTAGAAAAAGAAAAACCAAAGAGAAAGCTAGAAGTATTCTTTTTTTTTTTAATTGTAAAAGTTTTACAATTACATTTTCACCCCGTTTTCACCCCCCTAACCCACCCCAAGCTCCCCAACCCATCCTCCCTAACCCCCCCTAACCCTCCCCTCCCCCCCGGACTTCCATAGAGTGTACCCCATCATTATCCCCTTTATATAAAAAAAAACCTTGAACTTTAAACCCCCCCCAACCCCCATATCATTTTTCATCTTCACATAGTTCAAATATTTCTATCTTAATGTAATATAATACTATCAATAAAAAGCTATTTGATACTTCCTAGTTTGATATTTGTTCTGCACATAATCTATCCATTTTTTCCATTCACATTCATAAGTCTCTTGTGAGCGGTCTTTTAAATATGCTGAAATCTTCGCCATCTCAGCGAAACTGGCCATCTTCAAAGTCCATTCTTGAACGGTGGGCAAAGCTACATTTTTCCAATATTTACCTATCAACAATCTCGCTGCTGTAATCATATACAAAATCAACTTTGTTTCATCCACTGTAAAACCCTTAGCTATACCCAATAAAAACAATTGTGGAGAAAATTGAATTTTTTTCTTCAAAACATTCTGCATAACCCACCAAATTTTTATCCAAAAAGCCTTAACTTTCTTACAGGTCCACCAAATATGAAAATATGTAGCATCTGTACAATCACACCTCCAACATTTTGGCTGAACATTAGGATACATACACGACAGTTTCTTAGGGTCTAGATGCCATCTATAAAACATTTTGTAAAAATTTTCCCTCAAATTCTGCGACTGTGTAAATTTAACATTCTGGACCCAAATTTTTTCCCATGTTTCCAACTTCACTGGTTCTTCAAAATTTTGTGCCCACTTAATCATACAGTCTTTAACTAATTCAGTTTCTGAATCCCTTTCTAGCAAAACATTATAAAGCCTTTTAATATGCATTGGACCTTTCTCTCTTATATGTCTAACCAATTCTTCCTCATGCAACATAATACCAATTTTTTGGTCCTCTTTCCATCTCAATTGTAATTGATTATATTGTAACCAAGTTAAATTAATCCCTTCGTCCAACAGTGTCTGCAAATTCTTCAGCTGCCATCTGCCCGCATCTGTAAAAAGAACCTCTTTGTATAAAAACCCCCCGAGTGACATTATATTTGTATTCCACAAAGTATGACCAAGATCCAACCATAGCGGTATTTTATAATCCCATTTGAGTCGGTGCTTCTTCCAAACTCTCATCAAAGAGTCTCTAAGTATATGACTTTTAAATATTTTATCAACTTTGTCATCATAAAATAAGTAAGCGTGCCATCCAAATTCAAGATCAAAACTTTCTGCATTCAATATTCCAGCCTTTTTACTTCCAAACCAATCACTTGTTAAAGTTAAAGCTGCTGCATCATAATATAGCTGTAGGTTTGGAAGTTTAAGACCTCCTCTTTCTGGAACATCTTGCATAATTTTCAATTTCACTCTCGGCTTCTTCTCGTTCCAGACGAACTTATTCACTCCAAATTGCCAAACTTTCAATTGTTTATCACTTTTAAGCACCGGAATCATTTGAAACAAAAAAAGAAATCTTGGCAAAATATTCATCTTAACTGCTGCTATTCTTCCAAGTAGAGACAGCTGCAGTTTTTTCCAAGTCTCCATATCTTTCTGCACCTCTCGCCACAACACCTCATAATTATTTTGAAACAATTTCATGTTTGATTCTGCAACCTGAACTCCTAGATATTTTACCTTAAGTACAATCTCAAAACCTGCCCTCCTTTCAAGCTCATGTTTGCGATCTTGTGTCATGTTTTTAACTATCATTTTAGTCTTTTTTGGATTCAATCTGAAACCTGAAACTTTACCATAATCTTGTATAATGTCCTTCATCAAGATTATTGATTCCATTGGTTGTGATAGGGTAACAACCAGATCATCTGCAAATGCCTTTATTCTGTAATCCTCTTGCCTAATCTTTATACCTTTCAAGATATTAGAGTCCCGTATTGTATTTAACAAGACTTCTAGTGTTAAAATAAATAAAAGTGGGGACAACGGGCATCCCTGTCTTGTTCCTTTTTCAATTTTAAACTCTGTTGTCAAACTTCCATTAATAATAATCTGTGCCTTTTGCTCTTGATAAATTGCCGAAATCGCCTGTATAAATTGGTCCCCAAAGTCCATCTTTTTCAAAGTCTTTACTAGAAAATTCCAATCCACTCTATCAAAGGCCTTCTCTGCATCCAAAAAGACCAGCACTGCAGGGATCTGTTTATTCTTCTCAAGATATTCCAGTAAATTTATTACTTGCCTTACATTATCCTTCATATATCTGCCCTCGATAAATCCCGCTTGATCATCATGAATCACCTCTTGAATTACTGGCATCAATCTGTTGGCTAATACTTTTGCATAAATTTTATAGTCATTATTTAAAAGAGATATTGGTCTATAATTTTCCGGTTTTTTAGGACCTACATGTTCTTTTGGTATCAAAGTAATATATGCTGATTTCCATGATGGGGGTAGCTAGAAGTATTCTTATATAAGTATAAGAAATATACTTATATTACATTGAAAATTAAGCAGAAAGAAGATACAGAATATTATCAAATATGGAATTTATTCTACCAGTGATTGGAAAAAAGGGGTAGAGATTAAGAATGTAATCTGTACTGCTAAGCAAATAAAATAATCCAGACAATATGATGTTTATTAAGCACTAACAAAAATGTAACAATAGAATATTAATAAAACTTTTTTTAAAAAGGGGGAAAAAAGAAAGTAGAAAAATATAGAAAAGAATGAAAATAAGTAGATTCTGCTCTTCTTTACAGCAGTTTTAAGTACAATGATAAATTTACCTCTTATTTGTATGGTTACAACATGACTCTCTTCTTTCTATAATATATTCTATCTATTCATTATAATCATAAATCATAAGTTCATTTTTTTCTGTTTATTCAAAAAGTCGGGGGGGGGGGTGTTCCAGTCAGCAATAAATGGTCTTTTCTCTGATGAAAGAAGTCAATTTAGTCCTCTCAGCAACTTCATCATCTCCACCATCCTTTCCTCCATTATGAGTTGTGACGAATCTTTTTGTCTTTGTGTCTACTTACAACTGCTGTTGGGACTGGATTCCTGGTTGTAAATTATTATGCTCATAAGTGAAAGCACCCGCATGTCCAGACCCAATTTTACAAACTTTTTTGGCACTAGTTTCCAATATTGTTGTTTATAAATGCTTCTTGTGCTGAGAACCCCAAAGGGGCACAATCTGGGTTTGTAACTACTCAAGTGGTGGGTTTCCATGCCACCAAATCTCAGTTTGTGTTCTTTTAACTCCAGAAGTCTTCTGTTTCTCAGCAATATCCACTCTTTCATAAATATCATTCTGGCAAGACATTTATTTTTATCACAGAATTTCTCCCAAGAATGACACTTGTAATTTTATTCATCTTAACATGTTTTTTTAAACTTCATTCCATGTCTTACTTTGAAATAACATACAATTCTTGTTTGTCATAGTGATACCCGGTTATTTTACCTACTTCTTAATCTTAAAATTTGTTTTATTCATCAATTCTTTTTTATCTTCTTTTTTTTTTTTTGCTTTTTTTTCTAATTATTTCTTTCTGTGTAGAATATTATATATACTGCATGCCAATAAATAAAACAACAATTATTATCTCAGTGGCAATATGAGTAGAGGAAAATTTGTGAATACCTTTATAATAACTTAATTCTCTTTTATGACTTTTAGTCAACCAGATTCCATCTGTTTTTATATTATTTCCACCTAAAAATTATTCAGCAATATTTCTGAAACAGCTCATGATGTCACTAATATATTATTATTATCTAGGATGATACAATATGTTAATTCCAAGCCTTCTGCTCTCTAGTCATAAATGTTTAGTTAAAGAAATTAGGAAATAACATTTCAATTAGTAGACCATTTCATGCCGTAGCACATTTTAAACCATTTAAAATAATCACAAATTACATATCACATTTTAAAAAATCTGCACTGTCTCAATTTAAAACATTATTAGTATTAATGAGTAATATTAAATAATCCTCTGAAGAGGTGGGTTCTCGTAATCTTTTTCTACTGCTGATAATAATCCAGTCATCATAAACAGAATATTTTAATGTACTGGCCCAAGAGCAACCTTTGTAAAAGCAAAAAGAAATTTCTCCTGTTTCTTCCTCCCATTTTTAATGTATGGATTTAAGTGGTGGGGATAGAACAAGCATTATACATTCCATTTAGCACACTACTTTTTATAAATGATTGTGCCTGTCTATATTTTACAGCTGCAGAAGGGATGATATGCAGCCATTTATGCTCAAAAAATGGATGTTGGGGGCCAGGGCCAGATCAGTGTTTATCATGTAAACACTTCATCAGAGGAAAAACCTGTGTAAAGTCTTGTCACCTTTATGAAGGGTAAGTCATTTCTGCCTTTAGGCTTTGTGTGTATGTGCATGTGTTTATATAAATATGTTCATGCTTTTGAAATTACTAATGTTTATGTTTTGGTGATAGAAGAAGCCATCTGTCATGCAGCAACTGGTAATCATAACTTGTGTTAGGCAGCAGCATCTTTTATGGGAGAATGAAGCAAAATAATCTAGCTAAGATATTTCAATAGCCAAGTCTGCAATTCGTATATAATTGTATGTAACTGGACTAGAGAATTGACTGCAGGGGATGGGTAAGCTTGGCCGCAAGACAGAACAATTGGTCATTCTTTTGAAAGTCACCAAGCTGGAACAAGGAAAAAGCTTGCCTATACTTGTATTTTAAATGGAAGGTTGAAAAGCAGCAACACTGTATAAAAAGAGTTGACTGGTACTTTAGATGGGAAATGCTGTGCAACAGATTGCAGAAGTTTGATATCTGTCAAAAGGAAGTCCCAAGGAACTAGTGAGGTTATCTGGTTCAGTTCCTGAATGCATATTCCCTTGTCTGGGGGTGGGGTGGGGATGGAGAGGTGAAACACACTGCCTCAAATCATTTCAGTGAAGCTTTAAACCTCATTTGTACCCACAACAATTTTGGTAACAAGACAAGGCAACAAGGTTAAGGGCTAAACAGCAGGGAATAGTTAATTGTGAGAAATAGTTTGTGTCTGAGCTTTCAATGTCAACAATATACATTTCCATCACAGTCCAAGGAGATTGTCAAGATCATGACTAATTGTCTGCAGATAATAATGAATTGAAAAAGATCTAATGAAATGAAACTGAATTCTAACATGACAAAAGTATTTTTGATCAGTAGACTTGATCTCAGATTTGGAGTTCAACTTCTGTTGAGTTGGGTAGAACCTCTTTGAAAATACTGTTTTGTAGGTCGTTGGTAGTCATGGGCAGTTTTACCAAGATGAGGCTGATTAATCAATTATGTCTTTTAGGAATGTTGATCTGGTGTATTTTATTCCAACTGGATCATTGCAATGCACTCTACACAGGACTGCCTTTGAAGAATATATGGAAGTTAAAATTGGGCCAGTATACTGCAGCTCATTTGTCAATAATAATTATATATTCATAGCTTTCAGTTTCTTTCCAGTAGAATTCCAGCTGCTCTTAGTAGTGTCTGAGTTTAAGACTAGTTTATGAGAAAACTTCCTTATGCCATTTACTGAGGTCAACTCCAGGGCCCTCTAGTATGAAAGCCTTTTCAATATCTGCATTTAGGTACAGAAATTCTCTTTCTTCTATCCACGTCACTTCTTCACTGACGTCTTATAGATATTGATAAGAATCTGCCTGAAACTCTTCTTTATCAGTTTCTGATTTTACCATTTCTGATTCTTCTTATTTTTGTACATGATGTACATATATGTGTATGTGTTTTTAGGGGTGTGAAAAAGCTGTACTTAATTGCTAGTTTGGTGTAAGGGCTAGAAGAGAGAGTTTCTATCCAAAAGATATACAAAAGAAAACTAAATTAGTATCTGGGAATCAAAACCAATTTATTTGGTTTTCTTTTCAAAGATCTGCAGTAAAAACCTTTCTGCAAAATTTTACTAACTATAATTGTAGCTGCGTTCCTTTGAATTTAGAAGAACAGCTCTGCAAAAAAAAAAAAAATCAAAACCAATTATTGCAGAATATGATTTGAAACAATCTTAATTTATTGCTTCATAATTGTCCTCCTTGGTTTTTCCTTTTTACCTCTGGCTCACCTTAAGCCAGACATTTTTATTTGCACTGTGGTGGCCACTTTCTTGCTGGTGGAGAGACAGGATGGGTGAATGACAAGCCAGGCATTCTTATCATAATTCTTAAAAACTCTAAAGTGGCATTCCTTTCTGTCTTTCCCCGCCTGAAGGATATGGAGTGCTTACCTTTAACAATATGATAATATCTGTACATTGCAGAAGCCTACAGAATAGAGATATTACCATATGGTGTCAGTCAAAAGAAAACTCTCAGTGGCATTTAGGAGTGAGGACAAAACTCCACATCTCTCCTTAACAGCTACAAAGCAAGGGGACTGCTGGTAGGGACAATGTATATAGGTGACAAACAATGTGAAATCAGAAAGACCTGCTCTGTGGGCAAACCCTGTAGCACTATGGTTCCTGGGAGAAGTGAGAAAGCAAAGGAGGGTGAAACCCACTTCCTCTGTTCTGAGGGCAGAAGAGCCACAGACCAAGAGTAATCTGTAACACTTAAAGCTGATAAAAATAGTAATTCTACCAATTGGGAAACAGGTCAGAGCCTTTTATCTATGTCCTTGCTATTCTTGAATTATTTCCCCCCATCTTCATCCTGGAAAAAACATACTGGAAATGATATTCAAAAGTGAGGATTCTCAGAGCTATCCGAGAATAGGCTTGGGTTTTGAAAAGGCCATGACTAAAGTGAGACAGTAGCTATTAAATATAGACCACCAAAAAGACTTTAGTGTAATCCTTATGGTCTTTTTAAAAGAATCTAGCAGAGAGATTTTACAACCCCCTATTTAATGTCTGTAGATGGCATCAAAGATCATTTTCCTGGGTCAAGGGAAATTTAGCGATATACCTAGATCAAAATAGATTTTTCCATAGAAAATTGAAGTAATAGAGACATCTAGCTCTTGATTACTGTGTTGCTCCTTTTATATGCACTTCCATTTGGACCTAATAATACCCTTTCTAGTCAGATCTAATAGTAAGAGTAAAATAAAGAAGCGTTATTATCAGTCCTCAATTAACACACTGAAGTTTGCTAAATTTTGTTCTACTGTCATCTCCATATGTGGTCAACTGTCAAATATATTAGTAATAATTTTAGTAATGTGATTTTTTATTCTTTGCCAATAGTAGGATATTAATGAATGATATTTTTAATCCCTGTTGTATTGAATTTTAATCTTAGTTAAATTGGTTTATGACTCTTTTTATAAACTAAGCTATACTAGATGGTGTTCCCACAGTAGCAATGTCTGCCCTGGAGGCTATCTTTTTCTTTGGATCTTCAGGCTGCCACACTTAGTGCTGTGGGAAGACAGGAGGGGGTTTGCATGGAGTTGGTGGAGATATATAGCCATAACTGCATTCCTTTCTCTGGGAGTCAAGGATGTTCAGCCTGCACCTGGAGAGGCGTGACTGGGGATCATCTCCAGTTGAGATAGTGGATTGATTGGACCATGTGATGGACATGTGGGTACAGGGGAAGGGACTTTGATTTTCCTTTGGGTGGGGAAAACCTGGGAGCTTTCAGATTCGGGTTTTCCCAGATGTGCCAATATCACATCTCTAATAAAATGGAACTTTGAGGAGCTGCTGGCCTTGGAGTATTCATTGGTTGGGGGTGTTACTTGGAACCCTGACAAACAAATTACTTCAATTGGGAAGGCACAGACTCACAGATACTTCCTGTTCTTTCCATAATGTTAGATTTCTCAGGCCAAGAAAATATTGGGGTATGATATTAGGCCCCTGTTTAGAATTGATTATAGTTCCCATCTCACCAGCAGACTCAGTGGGACACGTAGAAGAATTCTAGCATCTCAATAGTATGATTCTTTTCATCTGATTGTCTTTAACAACTAGGTGGCTAATAGACCACTCCAGCTTTGAATGCTGAATCAGTAGGTTATATGCACGCCTAGTGTTCTGTACAACCTCTGCAATTATTTCCAGGATGAAAGAACAGGAAATGAACATCCAAGGGCTGTTCCCACTAATAACACCCCTTTAACAGTGATAACTGTTTTAGGTTCCAAATATATGATTTAAATAACTTCAGCTTCCCCATTATTTCTGTGCAAGCAACGTTTTTAGATGATTCCCCCCCCCCTTTCTTTCACAAAGGAGTAATTTGTTAGAGGTCTTTCAAGTGTACCAAGGAAGTCATCAGAAAAAGAGGAAACCCTAGTGGTTGAAATTAGATCAGATATGTATACAATGTCCCTTTATTTCAATAGATGTGTTTTTCATCTCCAGCATGTTTATTTATTTATTATTTAAAACACTGATATTGCTTCCCATTTTATATTGAACTCTGGGCAGGTCCCAATCAAAAAGGGCATGCTGCATGTTTGTATAAATAGTATGAAATATTTATATATCCTTGTCTTTACAAACAGTGAATAAAACCTAGCAGTGCAGCATTTGCATATTAATCCAGGGCTTGGGGATGGGGATGTAATTAGAAAATTATCAAAGAGAAGGTGTAGTTTGACAGGGGATAAGCACTTTTGCTTGCAGAATAACAATCATGTCATAAACTGAAGTTGCTCCCTGATTCTGTCACTTCTGGTATTTCTAAATTGCTTGTTATTTCCACAGGGAATACAGAGAGTTTGCAAATGGTTCAGTTTGTGTGGAATGTGATCCGCAGTGTGAGAAGATGGATGGAAACAGAATAACTTGCAGGGGGGCTGTAAGTACAATCCATATACAGTCCAACATATAAGCTGGTTATTATAGAAGACAGATTTGTTTTTTCTTTCTTTCATCCTTTGTAAATTTATTAATTTTATTTGCTAGATTTATATTCATCCCTTTCTTCCATGAACTTAAGACAATATACAATATACTCTTTCCACTTAATTTTCCTTACAGTTACAAACTTCTGAATTAGAATAGGCTAAGAGTCTATGACTCTCCCAAAATCAACGCCTAAACATATTGTGCTCAAGATGGATTTGAACCTGTGTGTCTCTGGTTCTAGTTCAAATCTTAGTAGAAACACTATGCTAAAGCTATGCATGTTCCCATGAAAGTTTTGCATGGGCTGAAAAGAACTAAATATAGAATCTAATAAAGTATAACAGTGATCTGTCTTTATGAAAAATCCCAACATAAGTCTTAAGGCAATGTGAGTATTGCATCCTGTGTCAAATATTACACTTACTTGATGTCTCTCAGTAGCTCTTGGGGCTCTCCAAACAAAAACAGAAATGTGGATATTCTGTGTTTCTTCTTTCTACGTAGGGACCAGATCATTGTACCAAATGCTTTCATTTTAAAGATGGCCCCAATTGTGTTGAAAAATGTCCTGATGGTGTACAAGGGACAAACAGCTTCATATTCAAATATGCGGATGAGGATCGTGAATGTCGTTCTTGTCACCCAAATTGTACCCAAGGGTAAGTTTACATTTACATATGTTAAAAAATTATTGCTACATGTGATATTTTCAATCCATTTTGCTGTACCTTGATGAATAAAGTAATTTGTCTAGAACATTACATTTTTATCCCCAAGTCTTTCAGTATGTCTCTATGGATGGCAAAACTAAGATGATGATGAATCAATATCTTTATTGTAATACTCTCTTGGAGTCTGAGTTACCCTACCCTTTACAGTCTCTTTTCTCCCTTTTTGCTAGAATGGGCAATAAAGATAATCTGCACTTAAAGAGCAAAAGTATGCTTTAGTTTGTGTTTGCCTCAGCATATTAAGAATGCAGTCCTCCCCTTAACCGTCTCTCCTCCTTTTGTGTTCAGCTGGGAGATATGAAAGTGAGTTGATCTGCCTTCCCTAGAGTGATAGTGCTACTTTCCATGTGACTCTAATGAAGAAGACTGTTAGATTACACGAACAGTTGCATTCATGTACAAAACTATAGTTAAATGTGTAGAGAATAAGTATGGTAAAGATGCGCTGCCTTGCTTTTTAACTGAACTTCAGGTGCCTTGCATGTGAAGGTGAGGGTCACAGTTGATCTTTTATCTCTCTATCTGCGTAAGATATGTACAAATAATGATAATTTTTGAATACAGGATTTTAAACAGAAAAATGGACTGAATCTCTGTTTTTCCTTATGTTATTATAAATTGCAATGCAATGCAAACCTAGCCTAATTCAATGTGACACCAAAGGATGGTGCATGCACACCTTTTTTCCCATCCTATTTCTCTTTGTATTGCAAAATCTCAAGATTTGGAGGCTGGGGTTAGTCTTAACAGGGAGATAAATTTATCAGTAAAAAATAGAAGCTTAAAGTTGGAAGGAATCCTTAAAATCATTTCTAGTAATCCAATCATCTTTGTTGCCCTTCTCTGAATTGGTTTAAGAATAATTTCTTTAAATTTTTCTTACAGTGTGATGCCAGACCTGGATATGATATTAAAGATGGGGTCTGATCAAAGCATAATAGAATGGAATGATTTCCCATGAATTGAAAATTATATTTCGATTAATATAGCCTAAAATAAATCTGTCTTTTTTGCAACCACTTCATAGTTCCGGCTGTTATTAAATCCAATCAAGTACTTTTAATTTAAAAATGGAAGATCTTTTTAACATTTAGTGCTACCAAGTATTCCCAATCCAATATTTGTGCATTTGATTTTATTTCATAAGTGAAGAACTTTGTACTTATCCCTACTAAAATTAATTCTGTTACCGTAAGCCCAATTTTCCAATCTAGCATCCACGAGTTTTGTATTACCTACAGATCTGATAAGCATCCCTCTTCCTTTTCATCCAAATCATTAATAAAAATGTTGAACTGTAGATGATCCAGGACTGATTGTTGTGGCACCTCATTCAGTCACTCTTTCCAATTGATGATGAATTATCAATGGACATTTCATGAATATAAATTTCAATCCATCTTTTAATCCACTTAGTTGTGATGTCATCCAATCCACAGTGAAAGATAAGCATGTCTCGGAGTACTTTGTCAGTTATTTTGCTGAAGTCCTAAAGGGCCCCAGTCTCAATGCTGCCCAGGGACAAGTTAAAATCTCCAAGAAACATAAACTTGAGAACAGCAGGAGTAGCTGCCCCACCTGTTCCCTTGACAAATTTATGCAGACCTCATTTAATTACTAAATTGTATTCAAGATGCTTCCATGTTGGTCTTTTTATTATCTATTCCAGAATCTTCCAAAGCCTGGATATCATACTGACTGGGTCTGAAGTTTACTGAATCTTTGTTTATCACTTTTTGAAGATAGGAGCATTTGCTCCAGTCATCTGACAATTTGTCAGTTCTCCAGAATTATTTGGGAAAGTATACCAGAGTATGGTCACACCATCAACCATTTTGTTTCAGTATTTTAGGATGCAATCCAGCTGGTCCTAAACTAATTGAAAACAAAGATAGGGTATCCGGCTATGGTTAAAAGTCTCAAGCTTTAATTCTGTCCTTCCATTGTGTTCGCCACAGAACACCTAGGTTTGGTAAACAAGGTTGAAATAAAATAAAAAATGAATATAATATCTCTGCCTTTTCTGTGGTATCCATTGTATTAGCATTTTGCCATTTTTGTTGAGCAGCTGTTATACTAATCTTTATCTTTTCCTTTTCTTTTGAACATATCCCCCCATAAGCCCTTTCTTGCTATTAGCATTCTGACACCAGTGCTGCAGTGTCAGATGAACTGTCTGTGGTCTTCCTTAAAATCCTGGCACTTTTTCCTGTTTGCTATATGTGATTTTCAGATCTTCACTAAGCTTTTTATTTAGCCACACTGGCTTTGCTTTCCTTCATTTTTTCTGTACACTGGAATTATTTTCAATTCTGCTTTTAATATGTTTTTCAAAAGTTTGAACTTTGTTTAAGAATTATCCTCAATCCTCTTCTTTTTAGCTTCTCCTACCATGGTATCCTACTCATGTCGCTCTGTATTTTTTAATCCTCACATTTTATAAAGTCAAAGATATGTGTTTGAATACCTTCAATTTTACAATAGTTTCTCTTAACAAGAAGAACTTGGGTATTGTGCCATCACCTTCCCCCAGTCTTCCTCCTACTTCCGCATCCTCAGCTAATTATAATTCCTAGAATTAGTGAAGTTGAATTAGTGTTGGTTGGACTGTCTTTATAAAGGTAGTGAAACATCTATGCCTATATTGCTTTTCCTTCTTCAGCAACAGCACCATATTAATTGAATAAAGTGTCACCAAAATAGAAAACCATTATATCTGGCAACCAACATAATTTGCAAAGGTCTTGCTTTTAGGCATCTGTGATTACATTTCCGCTTCAGTCCTTATGATACATGACTTGTGTTTAGTATTCCTCTCCTAAATCTATTAAAATGGCCCTTGTTTGCTATGAATGCCCCTTGTGTGGAAGTATTCCCAATGCTTCTTATGATGAAAGTTGGCACAGATACAGGATCTCATTTGTATTTATTTAAGATCCTTCTCCTTGTTTCTGATTACCATGTTTTGGCATTAATGTTCACACAGCAGATGTCATGAAACACCATTTAAAACAAAGTACCCTTTTCCAGAAAACTTCAATGGAATACATTTCAAAGGATAATGCTGATGCTTGAAGAACCAAGCCCTTTTGTAAGAGTACTTTCTGAATGAATCATTTTTAAAAAGCTACTAGACTTGCTGAATTTGATCCAGATATCAGCCAAATGTGTTGATTAGGCTAAGAAAGATAGAAAGGATTGTAGTTTATGGAAGCTTTTCTTCTCTTTAAACACAACTTTGTGCACGTTTTTCTTAGTTGGGAATCCTTTCTTTAAACCTTGTAGATTAGTGATGGCTAACCTTTTCCAGACTGAATGCCCAAAGTACACGCACGTGCACACAAATCCCGAAAATGCAATGTGCCCTGCCCCCCTGCATGCACCCTGCGCCCCTGCGCCAGGGGTGAAATACTACTGGTTCAGACTGTTTCAGGTGAACCGGTAGTAAAAAAATTCTGACGATCAGCTGTGCCGCGCAATTTGTATTCACTAGAAAGCAGGAAATCCTGCTTTCTAGCTAATCTAAATTGCACGGCCCAACTGTTTCCCCCTGCTCGCTGTTCTACTTACCTTTGCAGACTCAGAAAAGGCTTCTTAATCCTCCTTTTTCAGGGCTGTGCAGTAGTGCCTGCAGTGCGCCTGCGCGTAAAACACACATTTGGCGCACACTGCACATGCGTGTGCAAAGCGAACCAGTAGTGAAGCGAACTTGTAGCAGACTTCACAGCATTTCAGCCCTGCGCATGCGCGCATGGCCCCCTCGCATGCACCCCGCCCTGCACATGCACAGCAGAGACCCGAAGACCAGCTGGCTGGCAGGAGGTGCGTGCGCATGCGCAGCGGAGCTGAACTGGGGCAATGGCTCGCGTGGCATCAGAACCTATTCTGCCATGGTGCACGTGACATTTAATAACATCTTTTTCAAATCAAGCTTGATTCCTGATGTTTTCATAGAAGTGACTGTGCTGTTATCTTGGTAACAATACAGAAGGTATAGAGAAGAGTATTTTCAAATCCAAAGAAGAATTTTTCTCACTACAGTAAGTGAAGCTTAGCATGCCATCAGCTGAAGTTGTGTGACTTCTGAACATTTAATATAGACCACTCGAATTATTCTGCAATGAGACTGTTGGACAATCTCTAACAAAAACCAAGAGACAACTAACAAATTAATTTTATAAAATAATAATTCACAAGAGGCTTTTATTGTTTTGCTGCTAAAATTAAAGCAGTAAATAATTCAATAAAATGTTGATGTCAACAGCTGTTGCCATTCAAAATGAGACCTTTTTCTGGTTTTGCAGCTCTAATTACAACAGAGCTTTTAGGGAAATTAAACTAAGAATGCAAAAATATCCCAGAATTTGTGCTAGAGGTAACTTTTTTTTTTTTTAATTTGATTTATATGCCGCCCTTCTCCGGAGACTCAGGGCGGCTTACAATGTGCTAAGCAATATAGAAGCAACTTCTGTTTGGTCCTTTAAAATCTGGGTTATATGGTTAAAAATAATTATTACTACTGGGAAGAAAAAAAGGCATTTCAGAGGGGCTTATTAATGGAAGATAGTTTTGTATAGCTTAACATATATTTAATGTTAAATATAAGCACCTAAAATAATATTAGTTCTCTTCTTGAATCTATAAAACATCTGGAAATAAAGAAATGTATCAACTGGAATTTTTGCATCCTTCTGTCATTGCAATAGGAGTGGAAAAATTCTTTACTTAGTACATGTCTTTATATTAATTGTTAAAAATGCAAGTGAGGCAATAAAAATATTGGCTTAAGCCCATTGGTGAGTTTAAATTCAGTTCAGGTGGATAGAGCAGAAAATTGTTCCAGACAAATATCTTATTCATCAGTACCTTGTCCCTTGTGGCTTTTGTCTGAAATTTCTGGAGGCTGTGGTGAATGCATCTGGGCAATA